CCATGTCCAGGGGGAGGACTTCCCTTGGGTGCAGGGGGAGGGGTAAACCCCTTCCCGAAGGAGACGGGGTGTTCGAAGAAGAATCACCCTAAACCGCTCACGCCCAGAGGGCTGGCGGGATTTTCCCAGACGGCGCCTGCGCGAACCCTGACGTGACCAGGGGGGCGGGGGAACGAGGTGGGGCGGGGCCGGTCACGGGCGTCATCACGAATGATAGGCCTAAGCCGGGCCTGTCCCTCTACGGGAGGACAATTCAAACATAGTCAAAACAATATTTTTTTTTTGGGGGGGTATTTTTTCTCATCTATGTATATATATATATATATATATGTATGAAACAATGCATGCTCGGGTATTTTTTTGAAGATTTGTTATGATTCTCTTCAAGTTTTCGTCCAAAACCCGCCCCTAGGAGGACAGGCCCGACCTCATGCCAGGCACCTGTGCTCCCAGCAGGGGCCGCCCTGCTGGGGAGCGCCTCCGGCGTGCCCCCTGCTCCGCGGCGGCCCGCCGCGCCCCCGCGGCCCGGGCAGGCCCGCGGCGGCCCCCCCGCGTGCGGTGGGCCCGCGCCGCCGCCGGGTGCCGCCTTCTGCGAGCGCGCTTGCGCGCTTGGCATCGCTCGGACGTGTGCATTTTTCCTCCGGCGAGGACCATCGAGGAGCATCCTTGATCATTTGGCGAAGATAACCACGCACGAAACCGGAAAAAAAAAAACAGGGAATGGACGTCCGAGCGATGGCCAGCGCCGCCGCCCGCTCCATCAGCCCTTCGCCGGCGCCTCCCGTGGCCTGGCGCGGCGTGGTTCAACAGCTGGGCGAGGGCTGCTGAAACCGTGGCTGCTGAAACGGCCCTCCCGGAATGAGGCGCGGCACGCGAAACAGTCCACGGACTTCTTCCCGGAAGGACGAAGACAACTCCCGGAGGTCGATTTTAGCAGCCACGGATTTAGCAGCCCTTGCCCGGCTTCCGAGTGGTGCGGTCCTGGTGATGTTTCTTGGCCGAAGCTGCAAAGAATCCTCGATCCTCCCCCCCCTCCGTCCTCTTTCCCCCTCCTCTTCCTCTTCCTCTCTGTCCTCCACCCTGTCCGTGAGGGCTTCGCCCCCTGCCGCCAACCCCGTGCCTCTCAGAACGGGCTACATACCAGCTGTATCAGGATGTCTTGGCGCCGTCTTGATGACATTATGATGCTGACGCCGAAGGTGATGCTGACGATGCTGCTGCTAACTCCGATGGTGATGGTGATGGGGTTATTGCTCATGATGCTGCTGCGGGCGCTGGTGGTGGTGGTGATGATGTTGTTATTATTGCTGTAGTTGTTATTGTTGATGTTGTTGTTGATGTTGTTGTTGTTGTTGTTGTTGTTGTTGTTGTTGTTGTTGTTGTTCTTGTTGTTCTTGTTGTTCTTGTTGTTGTTGATGATGATGTCGATGATGATGTTGCTGATGATGATTATGTTTCTGATGATGATGCTGATGATGCTGCTGCTGCTGATGATGTTCATGATGGTGATCAAGGGCGTGGCTTGCGGGGACGCGGACATTACGTAACTTACTGGGGACCGTGCCCTCGGTGACGCAATGATTGCATAGCCTACGAATGCTTATGCCCTCGAGGACACGAGCATTGCGTAATCTATACGGGTTTATGGCGACGCGAGCATTGCGTAGTTTACAAAGGATCGGAGGACTTCGAGGGCGCACGCATTTACGTGGGATCGTGGCCTCGGGAATGCGAACGTGGTGTAATTTTCGGGAGATCGTGGCCTCAGGGGCGCGAGCATTGTACACTGTATGAGGGGCCTTGGCTTCGGGGACGCGAGCACGGTGCAAATACCGGGTGACCGTGGTTTCTATGACGCAATTATGGGGTAATTTGCATTGGCGTAAGGCTTCGCTGACGCGAGCATTGTGTAAGTACGGGTGCTCGTGGTTGCAGGGGCGCGAGTCTCGTGACAGTTAGCATGCTTCGTCGCCTCGGGCACGCGAATTTTGGGATAGGTTGTGTGTGTGTGTGTGTGTGTGTGTGTGTGTGTGTGTGTGTGTGTGTGTGTGTGTGTGTGTGTGGGGGTGTGCCCTCGGATGTACGCGGGCGGCCGTGGCCCCGATGGCGCAGACACGGTAACACTGAATGTACCAGGGGTTCTATTCTCGGGGACGCGGCTGCCGCATATTTTGGGAGGGCGTATGGCTTGGTGTTACCAGCCTGGAACATATCCCCATCCCTATGCTGGGCACCTCCTCATCACGATGCCAATCTCAGGGATTCCCTTATTTTTTTGAGGGCGGATCCCTAAGATTGTCATCGCCTTTTGGCGTGTCAATCTTAGGGATAGGGATACGTTCGAGGCTGGTAATGGTGGTTGCAAACATCCTGCGTACTTTGATATGGGCCATGGCTTCGGGGACGCGAGCATGGTGTAATCCCCCAGGGTTGTATGGCTTCGGGGGCGCGAACATCGTATACGTTGCAAGGGTCTATGGCTTCGGGGGCGCAGCTATTGTGCACCGTGCACTTGATTATGGCTACGGGGGCGCGACTATTGCGTACTGCACGAAGGTTTATGGCCTCGGGCACGCGACCATCGGGTACTTCACAAGTGTGTAGTGCCTCGGGGGCGCGAATCCCATGTATTTTTACGCGTCCCACGACCCCGCCCAGGAATTCTGAGACTCCTGGGAGGGCGTGGTGGAGGTGCTTCTGGGGCTCCCCCCCTCGGGCGGACTTCAACAATCGACAGTACGAAGCAGACCGTTGACCCATCACATCGGAAACTGTAAGCTGCAACTGGTGCAGGCAGCAGCGAGCCTGATTCCCGCAGCCTGATGGCCCCACAAGGTGGGCGGATTCTCGACCATCCTTCTTCGTTGTTCTTCCCCCCCCTCGATCCTCCTCCCCCCTCCTCCTCCCTCCTCCCTCCTCCTCCTCCTCCTCCTCCTCCTCCTCCTCCTCCCTCCTCCTCCTCCTCTTCCTCCTCCTCCTCCTCCTCCTCCTCCCCCTTCCTCCTTCCCCTTCCTCCTCCCCCTTCCGCCTCCTGCTCCTGCTCCTGCTGCTCCTCCTCCTCCTGGCGGGGTCATCCGAATGCTGGGGCTGTCTTCCTGGACATTGCGTCAGCCTTTCCCTTTCTCAGCCACTACTTCTTGTTCGATACGCTTGCAGTTCTTGGTGTCCCTCTTGCCATCCTGAAAGCGGTTGAATTCTTACACGACGGATTGGAAGTGGACCTTTTCTGTGAAAAGAAGTTACCAGGGCGGGTGATCACGTGTGGCGTGAAGCAAGGGTGTCCACTTGCAGGGCTACTCTTTGTGCTTGCCATGGGCCCTGTCTTGCGTGGTCTTGAGAGACGGGTCTCGCCTCATCCTGCCGCTCTCTACTACTTTGCCGACGACGTTGGGATTGCCTTTGCTGACACTTTGTCTCCCTGCCCGTCATTCTCACGTGGATGTCTCAGCAGGCGCACGTCACAGGTCTTTGTCTGAATCTCGACAAGTGCGTCCTGGTTGTTCCTGGAGTTTCCGACCCTGCACTGCTCAGAAGTGGATTCAAACGTCTTGGGATTCATATCTCTCGTTTCCAGGTTCGGAAGTGTGGGAAATATCTTGGAGTCTTTCTTGGTCCTGGAGGGTGTGAGACTTCTTGGGAGGCACCGTGTCAGGAGTTATTACAGCGTGTTACGCATGTGCGTTCCCTTCGGTCGTCCCTTGTGCACAATCTTCACGCCTACGATGTGTTTGGGCTCCCTGTGCTCTCGCATGTTTGGCAAGTTTGCCCTGTGACGGCTCATGTGCGGCGTACAGAGCACACCGCTTCACAACGTCTGACGGCCGCCCTACGACATGCCACTCCGAGCGAGCTCTTACGGCACATCTCGGACGTCGGGATGACGTTTGAGCTGGGGAATCTTGAGTGCTCTGCTCGGGCCGCTACGTTTCGTTCTGCAGCAGGCTCACGTGAGCTTGGGGATGCCATGGGACGCTTTCATGATCTTTTTACTGGTGTTCGGGACCTGGATGTGCTGTTTCTTCCCTCGTATCCTTGCTGGTGGGAGTCTTCGGTCACGTTCTCCATGATGCGTTGTTAGCGAGAGTTGACTGTCCTTGCCCTTGACCCCAGAGGAGTTTCACTCTTTACTGTTAATTCACGATCTGATATACTCGACTTACAATTCCCTTCGTGCTAGCAATTAATACGGCCCTGGAGGTGTGCGACATTTGATACAAGCCAGAGCTAGAGTCCCTGCCATACGTCACACAAAGCTGAGGGGCCTGCGGACTCGCTCTTGGGCCAGTGGGACGAGAGACACATCGGAAGTGGGCGCTCCTCCTCTTCCTCTTCCTTCCTCCTCCTCCTCCTCCTCCTCCTCCTCCTCCTCCTCCTCCGCTCGGGGTCAGGAGGCTGCCCGGCCAAACTGACGGCGGGCTCTCCGCGGGAGGGGGGGGGGGCGTCCGCGCTGCGGGGGCTCGCTGCGGCAGGGACCGGGCTCCGTCCTCTCGCGCCGAGGAAGCCCAGGCCGCCGCCCCCTATAGCAGCGCGTCGCACCGTCGCGGACAGGGCCAGCCCCCCCTGTGGGGCTGCGGAGGCAGCCGCGCTTCGGACGTCGCGATCTGGGCCGGAGCGGTTCCCCCCCTTCGCGGCGCGAGAGGCTCGAAGACGACCGCGCCTCGCGCCCTGCGGGGCGCGATGCGCGAACTCAGGCGACCTGGTTGGGAAGCCCCCTCAGAGGCCTCGGAGGAGGGGGCAGGCCCGTCCCCAGACCCCCAACGTCACGCTGTTTTCATAGCATGGACCCCCAGAGAACGAGGCCCCTTCCCGGGGATCGTTTTTGCATCCGGAGTCGTTTTTTTTCCTGGGCCCGAGGCCCGTTGAGGGCCCGTGGGGAACTGCACACGGAGAAGCGCCTTCCATCGTGTTTTTCACGACGCGGTGTGGTTTGGGTCCCCAGTCTTCTCGTTAGGCAGCCCCCTGCTCCTCGTCCTGCCCACTTGCCGCGTGCCCGCAGAAAGGCCTGGGCGAGGCCGTGAAGCTGTGCGCGCCAAAGGCCGTGCACGTCCTCATCGGCACCAACGACCTCGGCATGGGAATTACCCCCGCGGACGCGGGCGAGTCCTACCGCCAGCTTGTGGGCGAGCTCGTCGCGATGCGACCCGACGCCCAGCTGACGCTGCAGCTGGTTATGCCGCGCTACTTCAAGGGCCGGGAGGACGTCCACCTCGCGGGGCCCGGGCCCCTCATGAAGTGGAGCCCGAAGAGCCTGCAGTGGGTGGCGTGCCCAGACGCGCGTGAGGAGCAGATGCCGCTCAGGGGGGACGGGTCCAAGTATTGCGCCGTGATGTTCCCGCCGGTGAGGGAGCTGAACAGGATTCTAGGGGGGAATCGGTCGGACCCAGACATCATCTTTGTGCGATGCGTGCGTCGCTGTCGCAGGGGGGGCACGCGCTCTGAAGCATCTGGTGGTGTAAGCGCCGTGGCGGGCGCTTTCATGCCCAAGCTGCTTGGGTAACGGCTACAAGGTCTGTGTGCTAGATCTTCGGGTCGAACGTGGGTATCCGTGCCCTTCTGCGCCCCAGGGAAGGGAGAGTGGGGCCGCCACGGCGAGCAGCGGGGCCCTCGGGAAAGCGGGGCCCGAGGTTCTTCGAAGCTCGCGGCCCCCTCCGCGGAGGGCCCCCTCTGGGTTCGGGGTGGGGGCTGCTGAGGGGACAGGGGGGCTAGCAGTGGATGCCAAGGTGGGTCACGTCTGGCGCCCAACCTGGGGTACCAGAGGGCTATATCCATCCCAAGTGGCTTCAGGGGAGCAATCGGATCGGGCCAGGTTGACTTCGCCCATTTAGCATAACTCCCTCCCCCCCAGACCACTCGGGGCGGTCGTAACCTTGGCCCCTTTTTTATTAAAAAAGCACCTTCGGCATCCGATGCCCCCCCCATCCGCTCACCCTCCGCGCCGATCTCGGCTCCCGAGCTGCGTGGCCACCCAGGTGCGACTCGGGCGGGAGAGGGCGGGAGAGGGCGGCCGTGGGGGACGCCCTGCGGGTCCGGGGCCACGTCCTCGGGACGCGTGAGTCCGGGGGCAAGGCACGGGAGCCTGGCACGGCCTCGACGTTCCATCCTGAGAGCGGATTCGCGTGCGCCAGTTTTTGGTCATCGATCGGAAAGCGTCGATGCAGCGTCGATCTGGCGTCGACGAGCGTCGATCAGCGTCGGTGAGCGTCGGTTCGCAAGAGCCAGCAGGATGACATGGGAGGCTCCCATGAGTTGCCACAGAGCCCTTCCGTCATGGCAGGGGGGAAGGGTCAAACAGGCCTGGTGTGAAGACAAAGCGCCCGCGGCGCCCCATGCGTTCAGCAGACCCGCCATCCCTGAGCGGTTCCCGATGTGCAGTCAACCCGCATAGTAAGGATTGGCAACCTCCCAAGGGTACCCTTGCATCCTTGCCCCTTCGGCTCATCCTTGGCGACTTTCGTTGGCCCGCCTCGTTCAAGAAACGTTCACAGGGGCCTCCAGGGCCCTTGCATCCTTACTGCGCATCCTTCCGATACGGGTTGGCTGTACTGTCATTCGCATTTGTCCTCATCCTGTCTTCGTGGTCAACAGGCGGGAAGCAGGCTTAGAAAGGGGGGAGACCTGGTCCTCCGTGCATCCCCGATTGTTGGCGTGAGTGCCCCGCCGGCGGGGCTCTCACGGGGCCCGTCGGCGGCGCATCGACGTTGCAGCCAACGTTTTCGGAAAAGGCCCACCTTGGTTTCGGAAGGGGCTCGTCGCTCCTTGGGTGCTTCCGCAGATCTTTTTCTGAGGCTCACCGCGCACCTGGGCGCAACCCAGGCCCCCAGGGGGCTTCGCTCCTTGTCGAAGGTTCATCGTGCCAAAACTTTGACAGTCTTCCTTCGCCTACTAATTCGGGTCAGCCTTTTGGGGTCAGGAACAGGTAAGCTCAATTCTTTGTTGGGTTTTCCTTGTTCGGGGGCGGATGTAAATGTCCCAACACCTAGTTCTTCCTGGGCTTTTCCTGCGCAATTTCTTTGGGAATTCTTCGCTTGGGCCAGTTCGTTTACCAGACTTGTTTCCTTAGCTTGCCCTGCGCTGACCCTGACCCCTAGTAGTCTGACCCGCATCAGCAGGCGATTGCTGATGATCGTCAATTCGAGATCGATGTTGCCCCCCTCTTTCGGTCTCTTCACTGTCCTCTCCTCCAGGATGATCGCCCGCGTGGCTTCCGAGATCGGAGCCTCCGGCCACGACGCCAGGATCCTGGACTGCACCAGCTTCCTCACCGTCGGGGGTAGCATCAGCAAGGACCTTGCAGAGGTTCACCACCTACCAAACCACCCCAACCCAACCCGAAGGCCTCAATTTGCCCTCCATTTCCAGTGGGGGGGGGTCGGGGAGCATTGAAAAAACACAGATGAAACCCTTACCCCCCCCAACCCGAAATTCGGGTCTTCGGGTTGGGTTGGGGTGGTCTGGTAGGTAGTCAGAGGTGCTTTGAGGGAGAGGTGGTTTGTTGTCGTCGTCGTTGTCGTCGTTGCCACCGCCGTTTTTCGTTGCCGCTCTCGATGTCGTGCTCGCGGCAGTGGTCGCGGTCTGGCGGTCCGTCGCACCCGGAATCTCTTCGTCGTCCTGTCGCCGGTGTCCTTCTTTTGCTCGTCCCTCCCGTCGCCCTCATCCCATGCCTCCCCCTCCTCCCCTCCTCCTCCTCCTCCTCCTCCTCCTCCTTCTCCTCCCCCTCCCTCTCCTCCTCCCCCTCCCCCTCCTCCTCCCCCTCCTCCTCCCCCCCTTTGCTCGTCATCCCGACTCCTTGCCAGGAGAGGAAGCGGACGGGGAGGAGGATGAGAAGGAGTGGAATGTAGGGATCATTTGGGGGGTCGACAGGAGCCCTGTGGGGCGATTTTTGGCGCCTCTTGGGCCGTCTTGGCGCCCCCTTCGGGCGTCTTGGGACCCTCTCGGGCGGCTCTTGTGCCGTCTTTGGGCGTCGGCCAGCGGAGCAGGCAACCACACGAAAATCCTTGGAACACCCCGGGGAAGTCAGTGATTTTCGCCCCTGGAGCAGCCTCTCTCGGGGATGAGCTTGAATTCCTCCTGGTGCGCCTCGGAGGCTGCCTGAGCCCGCATCGGGGGCTCAGGACTTTACCACCAGAGCGCCGCTGCAGCCGCTTCGGCTCCAGTGGGTCTGGACCTGCCCATCCGAGGTTCGCCAGGCGACCCGCGACTGCTGCATCTGGCTTGCCTGCCTTCCCCGATGTCCGCCGATGATTTTTTCATCCCGCGGCCCCAGAGGTCCTGACCCCTTCCCTGGCGCCAGCTTTCGCCCCGGATCCGTTCCTGACGGCCCCTGGGCCGGATGACGGGCCGGAGAGGCCCGAAGCGGAGGAAGAGGCGCCCAGGCCGCACAAGTCTGGTCTCGTCGTCGGAGATCTGGGCTCGGAGCGACGGTCTGCGATGGCCGAGCTCGTGGTCCTGATGGTCGCGGAGAAGCCGTCCATCGCCGAGACGCTGGCGGCAGCTCTGAGCGACCGCCGCGCAGCCAGGCGCCCGAGCCTGCTGCGGGGCGCGCGCGCCCCGGTGTTCGAGTACAGGTCGGCGGCGAGCCCATGGGGGGCTCCACCTCCTCCTCCTCCTCCTCCTCCCCCTCCTCCTCCTCCTCCTCCTCCTCCTCTTTCTCCTCCTCCTCCTCCTCCTCCTCCTCCTCCTCCTCCTCTTTCTCCTCCTCCCCCTCCTCCTCCTCCTCCTCCTCCTCCTCCTCCTCCTCCTCCTCCTCCTCCTCCCCTCCTCCCCCCCTCCTCCTCCCCCTCCTCCTCCGGAATGCCGGAGGGGGCGGGCCTTCTCCGAAGGCAGGGGCGGCTTCTGAGGGGGCCCGGGGGGGTCCCGAGAAGCCCTGCCGCCCTCGGAGGAGGCGTACCCCTCAGAGGAGGAAAGGGTACCCATACCTCTACCCCCTCGCCCGTTTTCCCCTTCCTGGGCCTCTTCGGAGGCCCTCGTCGACACCGCTGGATTCGCCTCGAATTTCTGGTCAGAACGCACCCCGGGAGAGGTCCGAGGGGGTAGCGGTATCGGTACCTTTTTGTCTCCCCCAACCCCCTCCGGGCTCCGCGCCTTCCCCCCGGGGCGCGCCGCCGATCAGGGGGAGCTTCTTCGGGGAGCAGGCGCTCTTCAGAGTCACCGCGACCTGCGGCCACATATACTCTCTGGACTTTGGCCAGCAGCACAACGACCATCGAGGAACAAAACACTGCACAAGCATGCTCTTTCGGAGCTCCCCGCGGGTTTCCTGAATCTGTGCTGGGCCCCTTGGCGGCGCCTCCGGCGCAGGGAGGGCGGTTTAGCGCAGATCCGAGCAATCCGCACGGAACTCCAAAATATTATATTCGTGCTTGTTTGTGTTCCTGTGGACTAGCAGGCCACGGACCCTAAGGCTCAGGAGGGAAGAAACACACAGACACAATTAATCGTCGCTTCCCTAAAAATTATGGGAAAATATGGGAAGTGGGAGGGAAGATGAAAATCCAAAAAGTATGGACAAATGTGGCGAATCCTGGGATTTGTATGCATTTATTTGTGTGTCCCTGGGCCCCTTCAAAGGAGCTGTTCTCCGCGCCCGTGGTCCGGTGCTACGACCCGCGTGCCCAGCTGCCGCAGCACCTGGCCGCCGAGGCCGCTGGCTGCAGCGCCCTGGTTCTCTGGCTGGACTGCGACCGCGAGGGCGAGAACATCCCAGAGGAGGAAAAGGAACCGATGCCGCTGCCCCGAGATCCCGGCGTCTCGATTCTCACGGGCCGATCTGCGTCGCATGATTTCGGGCTCTGGGGCCCTCGCAGATCGATCCGGCTCGAAACATGGTGCAGGTTGATGGGGTCCAGGGCTGCGGTCGTGTTTTTTTTCACGATGATTTTTTTGTTGCTACGTCGGATCTCAAGGAACGGGTACCGCTGCCCGCTGCCCTTCCCTCGTTTTCGCCTTTTCGGGCCTCCTGTGAGGCCCTCGTCGCCATGACCGGATACGCCTCGGAAGCTCCTGTTCTGAGCGGCACTTAGGAGAGGTTTTGGGAGTAGCGGCAGAGCTTTCTTTTGGTCTCCCCAACATCTGCTTCGAAGTTATACAGAACGAAAAAGAGAAAGCGGTACTAACATACATTTTCGGAGGCCCGCGCGGATAGCTTGGATCTGCGCTCGACCCCCCTGGCGGCGCCGCCCCTGGCGCACTCCACGCGCCAGGGGGACCCAGTGTCGATCCCAAAATCCGCGCGGAGCTGCGATAGTTTATGTTGGTGGAGTTTTCCCTAGTTCCAGCAGAATGTGGTGCCAGTCATGGAAGATTCGCGCTCCTTCGAGGGGGCCTTCCGCGACCGCATATTCCGGGCCAAGTTCTCGTCTCTTGTCGTGGAGGACCTGCGGCACGCCATGAGCAACCTTGGCGTGCCAAACGTGAACGAGTCGCACTCTGTAGATGCTCGTCAGGAGCCTGTTTGTTTCAGGGTCCAGGGATCCTCCTCCTCCTCCTCTTCCTCCTCCTTTTCCTCCTCCTCCTCCTCCGCCTCCTCCTCCTCCTCTCCTTCCTCTTCCTCCTCCTCCTCCTCTTCTTCCTCTTCCTCTTCCTCCTCCTCATCCTCATCCTCCCCCTCCTCCTCCTCCTCCTCCTCCTCCTCCTCCTCCTCTGGGCCCCGCCACCCCCCTCCTCTCCCTCCAGACAACCCTGACATTGCCGTTTGCGCAGGTCTGGAGGGGGCCCGCACTACGGGTGCATGCGCGTGCGTGCGTGGGGCCGCCCACAGCGAAAAAGTTATATCAGTTCTCGGCCGGCACCTCCCACTCCCCCACCCGATGGCCCAGGCCATCGCAGGATGAATCAAAGACCGGCTCCAGGAGATAGATTTGAGGCTCGGCGTGTCGTTTTCGCGGCTCATGACGCAGTACTTCCGCGCAAACTTCGCGGCGCACCTGGGACAGGTGGCGCGCTCGGTCACGTACGGGCCATGCCAGATGCCGACCCTGTGGTTTTGTGTGCACAGGCACTGCTGCATCCGGAGATTCAAGCCCATCCCTTATTCTGATGAAGAAACAGCGCGGCATGAGCACAAGCCTTCGACGGCCCGCGCGGACTTCTGGGATCTGCGCTGGACCCCCCCCCTGGTGCGGGCACCGCGCCAGGAGCGGCGCCGGAATCGCCGCCACGGGGCTCCGGCGCAGATCCAAGAAGGCCGCGCGGGCCGTCGAGCGCTGGTGTCTGTGCAGTTTTTTCTCCCTCCCCGGTTGGCATCTCGTCGGAGTCCTCGCCACCGAGTCGGGCGTGGAGTTCACGGCGGATGGGGCGGAGGGCCGCGCGTGGCAGGAGGAGCGGGCCCGGCACCAGGTGCGCCGAGCACAGGCTTCCACGGAGACCACGATCACAGCCGTCGAGCGCAGGCGCGTCCGATGGGAGCGCCCCCTGCCGCTCAACACGGTCACCATGCTGCAGCAGGCATCGGAGAGGCTTGGCCTCAGCCCCGGCGACACGATGTACTACGCCGAGCAGCTGTACCTGAAGGGCGTGCTGTCGTACCCGCGGACCGAGACGAACCGATACCCCGACGCCTTCGACGTGGCCCTGCTGGTGAGGACTCTGCATGTCCCCGAGGCGCCCTGGGCGGCCGCCGCTGCCCGCGTAGCGGACTGCCTGACCCCGCCCCGAGAGGACGGCGTGGACCACGGGGACCACCCGCCGATCACCGAGGAAGGGCACAACGGCAGAGCCATTCACTTTTTGCATCTCCGCGCGGACCTCTTGGATCCGCGCCGGCCCCCCCCCCCAAGTCCTGGCGCAGGGAGCGCGCCAGAGGCGGCGCCAGAAGCGCCGCTCTGCGACAGGTTGCGAACACTATCCCTGCGGGTTTAATTGACGCTGGGGTATCGGACATCTCCGCTGGGTTCATCTGGCTGCAGACATCCTTTAATTTTGAATCCCAGGCGGTTTTCAGAAATCTAACCTGCGGGGGTAGGGGATACATGTGGTTACCCAGCCGCCAGGGGAGGATCAGTGCCGATCCGATAATCCGCGCGGAGCTCGTAAAGTTTGTGCATGTGCCGTTTTCTCTTCCTCGACGATCACCCCGGTCAAGTGGGCCACCGAGGCGCAGTGCAGGGATTCTGCGGCGTGGGCGCTGTACAAACTCGTGTGCGGTCACTTCTCGGCGACTGCAAAGGGCGTGGTTAGGCTGGTGTGTGGTTTACGATCTACGTCGTTGGGGCTTGCTTTGCCAACGTTGCGCAACGTTGGGGAGGAGGAGGGGGAGGAGGAGGGGGGGAGGAGGAGGAGGAGGAGGAGGAGGATGAGGAGGAGGAGGGGAGGAGGAGGAGGGAGGAGGAGGAGGAGGAGGAGGAGGAGGAGGAGGAGGAGGAGGAGGAGGAGGAGGAGGAGGAGGAGGAGGAGGAGGAGAGGAGAGGAGGAGGGAGGAGGAGGAAGGAGGAGGAGGAGAGGAGGAGGGGAGGGAGGAGAGGAGGAGGAGGAGGGAGAGGAGAGAGGAGGAGGGAGGAGGAGGAGGAGGAGGAGGAGGGAGGAGGAGGAGGAGGAGGAGGAGGAGGAGGAGGAGGAGGGTGAGGAGGAGGAGGAGGGGAGGAGGAGGAGAGGAGGAGGAGGAGGAGGAGGAGGAAGGAGGAGGAGGAGGAGGAGGAGGAGGAGGAGGAGGAGGAGGAGGAGGAAGGAGGGAGGAGGAGGAGGGAGGGAGGGAAGGAAGGGAGGAGGGAGGGAGGGAGGGAGAGGAGGGAGTGAGGGAGGGAGGGAGGGAGGGAGGGAGGGAGGGAGGGAGGGAGGAGGAGGAGGAGGGCACAACGTTGCCCTCGCCGGGCCTCCTCGAGGCGCGGCGGAAAGTTCCTCCGATGCCCTCGCCCGCGCCCCCCCAGGGTGCGCGCTGCAGAGCACACCCTTTTTTAGATGATCGTTTTGGCGACCTTCCTCTAAGTCGGGCCTGTCCCTCTACAGGGGGAATATTCAAAAATAGTAAACAAATAGTCTGGGGACTATTTTTTGAGTATTTCTGTGCATTTTTTTGAGTATTTTTGGGTATTTTTTAGTTTTCGTCCAACATCTCCCTGTAGGGGGACACGCCCGACTTAATTTCAGATGATCGTTTTCGGGACCTTCCTCGGGCCCACCTAACGGAGCTGTTCGGCTCTGGTGTTCGAGCCCAGTTCGAATCGAGTACACTCAAGTTCGACTCGGGTTCGACCCGTGTTCGACTCAAGGTCGGCTCAAGTCGACGGACATTCGAGGCCGCTTCGACGCACGAGTGGAGCGGGTGTCTCCAGGGAGGCCCCCAGAATGAGCATCCAACCTCTTTCAGACCAAACCCTTCGGAGTCGCCGAGCTTCCTCGCGACGGTGGCGCCCGACTGCTTCACCAGCGAGGCGGAGGCCCGTGTGGAGCTGGGCGGCGTGGAGTTCAGGGCGGTCAGCTCGCGGTGCTCCGCGGAAGCGAGGGTAGCGATACCGCTATCATGAAGTCGGGTATGTCCCTCCGCAGGAGGAGTATTCAAACATAGTAAAACATAGTACGGGGACGATCTTTGGAGTGCTTTTGACTGTTTGTGAATTCTTGGTTGATTTTTTTTTCTCGCCCAAAACCCGCCTGCAGGAGGGCATCCCCGACCTAACGCTCCTCTTGCCTTGTTTTTGGCCTTTTGGGGGCCTCCTGGGAGGCCCTCTCGCCTCCACGGCTGCGCTCGCCTTTCGAAATTCTGGCCAGAACGCATCCTGGGGGAGGTCAGGGGAGTAGCGGTATCCCTCCCTCCATTCCCTCCTCCTCCTCCTCCTCCTCCTCCTCCTCCTCCTCCTCCTCCCAGGTGCATCCCCGGCCTGTTCTCGTGGTGTGACATCACCGGCGATCCCGTGGAGGACGCAGGACGGCGGTGGGAGAAAGGGGTGCCTGTCTGAGTCTGACCCACGATCGGGACGAATCGCCCCTGAGCGTTTTGGAACGCTCTCGGGCCGCTCCAGCTCGCTTTGGAACGGCCGCTGCGCCTGACACATCCTCCAGAGCCGCTAGATCCAGAGATCTCCGATTCATCTCCATCCGACGTCGCCCCGTTCTGGGGTTACGCCCGGTGCCGGAGGCGGCTTGCCAGCCTTCTTCCTGCGCGGAGGCCGTGCCACGGACGTGTCTCGCTCAACGCCCTCCTCTGGCCTGCCCACCTGCCCGCCCGCTGGCACCCAGGCAGCCGAACGCAACCTTCGCCCGCCCATCCACCCACGCAACCAAACACACGAACACGCCCACCAAACACCTCCTCCTCCTCCTCCTCCTCCTCCTCCTCCTCCTCCTCCAGTTCCTCCTCCTCCTCCTCCTCCTCCTCCTCCTCTTCAACCAAACACACCAGCACCCACGAACGCAACCTTCGCCTGCCCATCCGCCAGAACCACCAGTCAGTCCACCCGCCGCCCGCCTGGTTCCCCGCCCCCTGGGCGGCCCGAGCCAGGCACGTCGTAGCCCGCCGCAGGGATCGTTCACACGTGGGGCGCGCAGGCGCCGTCCCAGACCCCTGACGGCATTGTTCCCCCTATCATGTCAGAAGCCCGGCGCTCCGACAACAAGTCGCACGTGTGCTATGCTGGGCCTCCCGAGGCCGGTCTCCGGCCCGTGGGCCACGAGGAAACCTGGGCGAGGGGGGTCCAGAGACCCAGGGGCCCGTGCATCTGCAGCATCGGAGCGTCTGGCGTCTGCCGCTACCAATGCCCTCAGCCCGAGGCTGCACTGCCCCGCGAGAGGAGCAGAGGACGAAGAGCACGAGGAGGAGGAGGAGGAGGAGGAGGAGGAGAGGCGGAGGAGAGGTAAGATGAGGAGATAAGGATCTGAAGGTGAGGAGAGAAAGAAGATGAAGAGGATAAAGAAGATGAGGAGGATGCTTCCCCCAAGTCCGTCGTTGTGGGTGCGGGGGGGGGGGGGGTAAGCTATACATATATATATATATATATGTATATATATATATATATATATATATAGATATACATTTATATATAGGTATGTATGTGTATACACATATATATATATATGTATATATCGATGTATACATGTAGAGACATGTGTTTGTATGTAGGTGTGTGTATACACACGTCTGTATATATACACATATATATAGTTCTAGTGTGTGTATATATGCATGCATATTCTTGCCCTGCAGCTCTAGACGGTCTCCTCGTGGCCTCTCCTGGGGCCCCGCGCGGGCATGCCGCGGGCCCCCGCCGGGCGTTTCGTCGAGATTCCCGAGGTCTGCGAGCCGTCCGCTCAGAACCGCCCCCCCCCCCTCCCCGTACCCCGAGATCCTGGTGTGCCGGTGTCTCCGAACCGCGCGTTTCCGTCGGGCTTCGGGCCCCGATCTGGCCTGGGAATTGGCGCAGCAAGATGGGGTCTGAGGCTCTTGTCTCGCAGGCCTAGAGGCTGACACCAACACCAATATCGGCAGTGTGCATCCGCCGAGGGAAGGAGACCCCGATCTCGGTGATAGTGGTAATCTTATGGCTTGCAAGGGGGCCGAAGTATTACCACCAACGCCGACATCTAGGACCATCTTCCCCTTTTGGAGGCCGCCCCCTGTGTTGGTGTTGGTGCCCATTTCTCGGGCCGGACGAAAGGTGGGGATTGGGAAAGGGGGAGTTATGAAATGTGCTGCATGCAGCTGATTTCGGCCCCGCCGAGGGGCCCATTCCTCGATGCATGGCCGCCTCTGGCGCCAGGAGGCGCCAGGAAAATTCGCTGCACGAGCTAATTCTCGACCCCTCCCTTTGCTCTCCCCCCCTTTCGCCCGACCCGAATTTCTCGGCCTCCAGTTGTCGCGGTTTGTCGCCCTGCCCGTGCTTTCCCATCCTCGGAGCACAGGGCCCCGGGGGGCCGACCCCGGCCCCGAGCCTCGAGAGCGGGGCCGTGGCCGCGGCCGCGAGGGGTCTCTGCCCCGGAAGGCCAGGGGAGAGCGAGAGGGGAGGAGCTCTCCAGGGCGCAGCCGACTGGCTGGCCGTCGTCGTCGTCGTCGTCGTCGTCGTCGTCGTCGTCGTCGTCGTCGTCGTCGTCGTCGGAGGAGGAGGAGGAGGAGGAGGAGGAGGAGGAGGAGGAGGAGGAGGAGGAAGGACAACTGCAGGGGGACCCCGTCAGCTTTGCAGAGTCGCTGGTCTGCGCCGCAGTGCCGGCTTGACCCACAGGCAAAGGAGGAACGTGATCTTCGTTCGGGAAGACCGCCGTCTCGAACAGTAATCGAATTCCAGTTTGCACCCACGACGCTCTCCAGCAAGAAGTAGCTAATAACGACGACGAGGAGGAGGAGGAGGAGGAGGGGCAGGGGGGAACAAGGAGGAAGATGAGGAGATCGGCGAAGGAGAGATGGACGTTGCCGAGCTGCAGCCCGGCGACCTGTGCCGCGTCGTGAGCGTCGTCGTGCGTGAGGGCGCCACCGAGCCGCCGCCCTACTTGAGTGAGGCGAAGCTCCTCGGGCTCATGGAGGAGCACGCTCTCCGCCGCCACCCAGGTCTCCGACGACATGCTCTCTTCAATCTGGGCGTGTTTCCTCGATTTCGGCCCCTGGGGTCCGCCATCGGGCCCCGGCACCATCAAAAACTGCACCCAGGGCGAAACGTGATGCAATGGTGAGGGGGTCGAGGCCTTTTGGGCCGCACGTTGAAAGAATCATGGAGCAAGTCCTCTCGATGTTCATTTTGGGCCCTCACCCAGGCCCACTTGACGGATCTGTTCGACGCTAGTTCGACTCGGGTTCGACGCTGGCTCGCCTCTGGCTCGCCTCAAGCTCCGCTCAAGCTCGACCCGCGTTCGACCCATGTCGTCGTTCGTGTGAAGCAGCATCGACACACGAGTGGAGCGAGTTGCTCCAGGAATGTCCCCAGAACGAGCATCTTGAGATCCGACGTAGCGAAGCAAATTGCAACGTCGCGAAAAATCACGACCAGAGTCCCGGACCCAATCTTTCTGCGGCATGTAGCGTGCCCGAGCGTTTTGTTAAGGTCCCAGGGCCCGAAGCTGGGCGAAAACGATCGGCTCGAAAAAATCGCCAGGCTCGAACGGAATTGGAGAGAGTGGCGCCAGGAAAACCCCAGAACCGAGCATCTAATCCCCTCCGCCGCCATGCCCGCCGTCGCCGTCGCCTTCGCTCGGAAGATGACCAGACACACATGGGCGACGGAAAAACGGGGTTGTCTGCGCCGACATTGGCGCGTAAATTGGTCGCGTCAGGTCGCGCGAAGGTGCCCTCGTCTCTGATGTAGCGTGCCGCGCTGGCGGCCCGGCGTGAGGTCGCTGTGTCATCTCGCGTAAAACCCGTGTGTGATCGTTTTCTTATTCATTGTTTTACCGATCGGCGCGGGCCCTCGCACCCCCCCCTCCTCCCCCTCTTGAGTAGATCTGGGCTGTTTTTGGCGCCTGTTTCGAGCAGGTGGAGCCCCTCCCCCATACGACGCACTGTTGCAAACCGTCGCGTGAAGCAGAGATCCGGAGCCAGACCCCCCCCCGCCTCCCCAGCCCCGTCCGCCCACTGTCGCAGCGCCGAAAAAGAAAAGCGTTCTTTTTCGGATCGTCGCGCGCACGTCGATACCGCTCGGCCCGTCCCCCGCCCTCGGCCTGCTCGGGGCCTCCTTCAAGGACGGGGGGGGCAGCCGAGCCGCCGCGCCCGGCTCCGCCCCGTATTCCTGGGCCGGAGCACGCCCTCGAAGGGCATCGTCAGGGCGGCGTCGTCAGGGGCAGCGTTTGGGGGGGCGGATCGGCTCAGGGGGGGGATGCATCGACCCCCTCCTACCTTTTCTCCTCCTCCTCTTCCTCCTCCTCTTCATCCTCCTCCTCCTCCTCCTCCTCCTCCTCCTCCTCCTCTTCCTCCTCCTCCTCCTCCTCCCCTCCTCCTCCTCCTCCTCCTCCTCCTCCTCCTCCTCTCCCCCTTCCTCCTCCTCCTCCTCCTCCTCCTCCTCCTCCTCCTCCTCCTCCTCCTCCTCCTCCGATCGGGGCCCGATTGCGCAGCCCGCCCAGGAACGTGCGGTTTGGCTATCCGGGGCCCATCGCCGTTCTGTCGGCGATGCATCGCAGATGCCAGGTCGACGTTTCCCCCTGTCGGTCCCCCCTTAGCGTTGCCCCTTGTATCGGTACCCTTGTACCCCCCACCCGCCGCCGCCGTCGTCGCCGCCGTCGCCCGTTTTCGCCGTCGTCGGTGGCAGCGGTGGCAGTGACGAGGCGCCCCGCATCCTAAACCCGAGCATTTTCTTTGGGTGGAGGGCAAAGGGTGAAATCTGAGATGCCGCTTCGAGGGATGTTCGAGGCTTGAACCTGCAAAAGGTGAATCACAAGACGGATTGGTGTTCGAGGTGCAAAATCCCATCTGGATTTCACCCTGAGCCCTCCACCCTGAGAAAGTGCTCGGTTTAAACGCCCTCCTGCCTTCGGAGAAGCCTTCTTGGGGAGTCCCCGAGGAGGGGCAAGGCATACGCCCCGCGGCCCTCCTGGGAGGCCGCCGTCGGGGGAGATCCGCTGCGGCCCGAGGCTCCCGTGGCGCTGCCGTGCATCCCGGCGCGGCCGATCTGATGCGATTCCGACCCCGAGCGGCCGATGCAGCTCGATTCGATACGGTAGGTTCGCGTCGTGTCGACCAGCGGCGACCCCAGCGCGGACGTTCAAGGTTGAACGCCGCCGGCGACCCAGAATCGATCGATGTTGAACGATCGGACGTTGCGGCAGCGGCCGATCGTTCAAGGTTGAACGATCCCTGCGGTGTCAAAAACCAACGCTGGGGTCGGCACGACACGAACCTGCCGTAGGGGGCCAAATGCGAACCCTACCCTACCCCTACCCCTACCCCGAGCGAAGTGAGCCCCACCCTCCCCCTCAGAAGTCCTGGGGGGTAGGGGTAGGGTTCGCATGTGGCCCCCTGTTCGACGCTCGTTCCGATCTGACCCGTTCTTGCGGTTCGAGAAGGTTCGATGCTCGTTTCGGGGACCTTCCTGGAGCCCACCTAACGGATCTGGTCGACCCCAGTTCGACTCAGGTTCGACTCAGGTTCGACGCAGGTTCGACTCAGGGTCGACCGAACTCGACTGACGTTCGACGCAGCTTCGACGCACGAGTGGAGCGAGTGGCTCCAGGAAGGTCCCCAGAACGAGCATCCAAATAAGGGCCGATCATGCCATTCGCTCCACACCCTTGTGCGCGCCGCCAACTCATGGATTGGGATGCGGCCCCTGAGAGGTCTATCCGTTGCCAGAGACTCGCCAAATCCAGAACTGTTCCCTTCAACTTCGCTGAATCCCGCCTACAACGGCGGGCTCAATCTTGGGTCCAATCTGGCCTACTCTAGCCTAGCGGCTTCTTTATTTTGCTTAGCCGTGATCGTTGCTGCGAATAGCTTCGAATAACACACAGTCAGCACAAACATCAGTTTTCGGAGGTCCGCGTGGACATACGAAAGTTTACGCTTATGGCGTTTCTTGTTCTTCGAGACCTCCCAGAAGTTACCTCCTAGCATTGAGGAGCACGGCATCGGCACCGACGCGTCCATGGCCCAGCACGTAGGCGCCTGGCGGCTGGTCGGCAAAGCATACACGGGCCCTCCCCAATCTGCCGCCAGGCTCTCTCTGGAGCTCGTGCTCAGAGGGTGTGGGGTCCAGAGCGTCTGACACGCGAGGGAGGGGGAGTTTGGCACGTGAGCAGTAGCATGCAGCTGTCGAATTATGAACAATCAGCAGGAGCGCACATTTTTGAAGCTCTGCGCGGATTTTTCGGATCGACCCTGGCGGCTCCTCTGGCGTAGCCCCTGGCGCGCTCCGTGCGCCAGGGGGGGTCAGCGCCGATCCAAGAAATCCGCGTTGACCTCCGAACATTTTCATTCATTCAGTTTTTGCTTGTAGATTAGCGCATCTATCATCGGACTGCAGCCAGTATCCTTCATTCCATGCCGCTCGCATGTGGCTGGAGCAGATGGGGCCATTTTGGAGGCCTCCGTCGAGGAAGGGGGGAGGATGAGGAGGTGGAGGAGGAGGAGGAGGAGGAGGAGGAGGAGGAGGAGGAGGAGGAGGAAGAGGAGGAGGAGGAGGAGGAGGAGGAGTATTTGTCCTAACAGGGTTTGACGCCTTTCGTCTATTTGGGCCTTCTCGTGACCATTTTCGCCTAGTCAGAGCGCACCCCAGGAGAGATCGGGTGGTCGACTGGAGGGAGTAGGAGGGAGTATGAGGAGGAAGGTGGAACTGCTCCTCCTCTGCCACTGCCCCCCTCCCTCCCTCCCTCCCTCCCTCCCTCCCTCCCTCCTCTCTCTTCTCGGTGTCTCCTCCTCGTCCTCTTCGCTCCAGTCTTCTTTGTCCTCGTCCCTTTCCTCATTGTCTCACCTCTTGGTTTCACTCTCATCCCTCCTTCTTTCTCCTCGCTTTCGTCAGTCTCCTCCTCCTGTCCTCTTCCTCCCTCCTCCCTCCCTCCTTCTCGTCCTCCATCTGGGCGCGGAGTTGCGAGACGTGGCCACCCACCTTACACCTCTCGTCCCCCCCATCTCCGAGGAGGAGGGGGGGATAAGGATGACGGGCAGGATGAGAGGGGGAGGAGGCGAAGGAGGTGGAGGTGGAGTGGAGGAGGGGCAGGGTAGGGCGGATGGGAGGGGGAGAGGGAGGGTGAGGAGGATTGGAGCAGGAGTGCAGGGGTGCAAGAGGTGGAGAAGGAGAAGGGGGGGAGGAGTGGAGTGGAGTGGAATGAAGCGAAGTGGGGGAGGAGGAAGAGGAGGAGGAGGAGGAGGAGGAGGAGGAGGAGGAGGAGGAGGAAGAGGAGGAAGAGGAGGAAGAGGAGGAGGAGGACGAGCAGGAGGAGGACGAGGACGAGGAGGAGGAGGAACAGGAGGTGGAGGAGGAGGAGAGGAGGAGATATGAGGAGGAGGAGGAGGAGGAGGAGGAGGAGTAGTGGAGTGGTGTGGAGTGGAGTGGCGTGGAGTGGATGAGGAGGAGGCGGAGGAGGAGGAGGAGGAGGAGGAGAAGGAGGAGGCGACGGTCCTGGGATCGCAGGCAACATCTTGAAACGAGGGTACGTCTGGCTGGACCAGGAGACTCGCGAGCTCGTCCCTGCAGCCTTGGGGCTCGCACTGGTGTTCGCCTACACCATGGTTGACCCGGGCCTCGTGCGTCCCACAGTGCGGTCGGCGATCGAGAACGAGTGCGGAAACGTCGCCAAGGGCAAGGCACGAAAAGGGGAGGTGGTCGCGCGCGTGATGCGAATCTTCGAGCGCAAGTTTGACTATCGCCCACGCTTCGCGTCCGCGTGTGCCGCCGCGAGAGCCGCGGAGACACAAACACGGATTCGCGTCGCGTGCATTAGCGACGGATCCTCGCTGACGTGCAAAAGTCGGCGCGCTGCGTCGCCGGACGAGGCGGCCGTGGCCTCATGCTTCGGGGGCTGCCTTCCGCGAGCTGCAGATCTGGCGCCCGCGCGACAGATCAGCGGATCCGCACCCAGACAGCCGAAGTCCGGCTCTTTGCAGCACGGGGTCCCCGTGAGCCCCGAGCCTGCCCCCCTGGGCCGGTCTGCTGCCCCGAGTCGTTTCTCTGCTGCCCCGAGTCGTTTCTGACGGTCCCGAGGCCTAGTGAAGGCTCCCAGGGGGCCGAACAAATACACAGACATGCACACACACACACCTATGTGTGTGTATATATATATATATATATATATACGCACATGCACACACGGCCTTCTGGGAACCCGATTCATCAGGCCTCCGGCCCCCATTCCCAAATGCATGGGCTTCTCACTGCCCAGAATGCGTTCAGCGTTATGGACACTTCTTCACTTCCTGTTCAAACCATCTGTGGTCCACCACTTCCGTGGAGCAGTGAGCTCGTGAAGGTCTAGGGCCTGCTAGAGCCGAGGCGCGCGCGAAGCGCGCGCCTTCTAGTACATATATATATATATATCGATATATATATATATATACACAGACACACGCGCACACAACAACTTTCCGTAGTGTTTAGTGTTTTTCGTACGACGCGAGATCTGCGGATCCTCAGTCCATGTTGGCGTGTGCCGCTGCTCGGGTGGAGGGGAGGAGCGCCGCCGACCGCCAGCAGGGCCACCACCCCTGGCGGGGCAGGTCCACGACGCCTCCCCGAGCTGGAGATGCCTCCAGCGTTGTGGACGACGATCAATGGCGAGGAAGCATGTTACCAAATGATTTCCAGATGTCTAAACAATGTTTTAAACATGCTTTGAACATGTAAGGAACATGCTGTCAAAATGATGAGAACATGTTTCAGACGTTTCTAAATCACATTCTCAATTCAATTGTCGGATTGTTAGGGTGTCCATTGTCATGGCATGCACAACTCCAGCGGGGCGCCGAAAAGAAGTGACACTCAGGGGCAACGTTAGGGGTGAGATAGGCTCAGGGGGGGACGTTTCGGGTTGAAGGTTTTCAAAGTGTTGCTGATTCTCGGCGGTTTTCCAGCCTCGGGGTGCTCTCAAGAAGCTGCGACTCGCCGAGAGCGTTCTGGGGGTTTGCCTGGGTCGTCCCGAACGGCCGCCGGAGATAAGAGCTGCGACCCGACAAGCAAATGGCCTTGTTCGGGGGGCTGGATTGGCTAAGGGGGGATGCATCGGCCCCCAATCGCCAACTAATCGCCCGTAGGGGCCCGATAGCCCACCCCGCCCGGGAACGTGGTGCTCTGCTATCGGGGCCCTATCGCCGATCTATCGGGGACGTATCGCTGGTTCCAGGTCGATGCTTCCCCATCGTTGCACCTCCCTTCGGCTCAAGGTTACAGGGCTCGCGGAAGCTGGCGGAGGCGACATAGCATCACCTTCGTGGGGCGCTCCAGGGCAACGTGCTGACGGGCCCCTCCACTCGGCGCAAGCCAGACACAGAGCCCGCGGAAAGCGGCGGAAGCAAGTGGGGGGCAGCCTTTAAGGCAGAGGCCCAAAAGGAGCCAGCGGAGACACATTCGATGCCAAAGAGAGATCATCGTTGTCGTCCTGAGAGTTTTTGGAGGACCTCCTGCTACTCCTGCTCTGCGTCGTCCTCCTCCTTCCCCTCCCGCCTCCCTCCCCCCACTGCTGCTGTTGCTGTTGCTCACCGTCCTCATGACGCTGAGGCTGGTGGCGGTCTTGGGCACTTCTGACGCCCTCCTCCTCCCTCCTCCGCCTCCTCCATCTCTTCTCCGTATCATTCGCATTACTTGACTCCTCCTGTCGCATAATCAGGCGCGTCCGTGGGCATGCCCAGCGTTCAGCTCGAGACTCCCTTGCAACTTGCGATCCTGAAGCTTACTGACTGCACCAGTTTCAGGGGTGGAACGCCTGTCGATTTCAATGTGTGGCTCTCGCATTAGCGTCGCGCGCATTCGTCTTAATCCATTCAGCAGTCGCGAGGAAGGAGGGCCGACCGTTTTCAAACTGCGATTTCGAGTTAGGCCGAACATTCGTCTCAAAAGCTTGCCCACAGGTGCAACGACTACTGGCAGCACTTTTCGGAAGCTGGGCGAGGGCTGCTAAAACCATGGCTGCTAAAACGGCCCTCCCGGAAGGAAAAAACAACTTCCCGGAATGAGGCGCAGCACGCGAAACAGTCAGCGGGCTTCTTCCCGGAAGGACGAAGACAACTTCCCGGAGGTTGATTTTAGCAGCCACGGATTTAGCAGCCCTTCCCCGGCTTCCGAACTTTGTCAAGCTGGGGTTCCCGCCTTCGCGCCGCAGACCTTCCTCTTCACTTTGTTGCAAGCATTTGCAGGACGGAGGACGGCTGCCTCTCAAAGGTAAAGGGTCTCGGACGCAGGACTGGAAACTCGAT